TCGAAATTCTGTAAACATTTTAAACTGCTTGAATCATTATACTATCACTCTACATGAAGTATAGATGATCGCTAACAAGTAAGGACCGCGGGCGCGAAAAGACGAAGGCGGCGAAAGAAGGGAGAATTAAACTAAAGGGTTGAAACTTCGACTACATGACATTTCTAAATTCCTTAATATTCACAATTTCGTTGTGTTTTCGAATATTTTTTTGCAGATTCTATGTCTTTTTGGACATATCTTCACAACTGATTTAGTAGATTCAATAAACGATTGATTTTTCGTATGTTTTTACATGAAACACTCGAAGGGTTTTTTCGCACAATGTGTTCCATAAGTAGGTTGTTCTCGTGACGTCAAGTATAATGAGTCCGAGCCGTTTAAAAGGTTTACAGAACTTCGAGAGAAGAAATAATGGATGATCAAGGAATTCAAGTACGTTTTAAAAAATAAATACAATATTATTTCAATCCTAACTCACATTGGGGCCCCGTGCGAAATTGCCGGAGAACAACCTACTTATGGAACACATCAAACGATGACCCGCCGAAGTTTCAACCCTTTAGTTTAATTCTCCCTTCTTTCGCCGCCTTCGTCTTTTCGCGCGCGCGGTCCTTACTTGTTAGCGATCATCTATACTTCATGTAGAGTGATAATATAATGATTCAAGCAGTTTAAAATGTTTACAGAATTTCGAGAGGAAATAATCGATTATCAAGGGATTCAAGTACAGGTTTTTAAAAATAAATACAATATTTTTTTCGTATCTCTGAGGATGGTTCTGAAATAGGTATACTGAGATACATCATTTACGAGGATAGGTAGCAAGCTAGGAGAACAACATGGAACAATTTCTAGTGCAGTAGCATCGTCTACAAGCTTTACCGCCCATTCCAGTCCTGTAGAAGGGAATTGACTAAAATGGCAAAGAGAACAGGCCCAAGTTTAGTTCCTTGAGGTAGGCCACCGTTAACGGGTTTCCATGAGGAAGTGGATGATCCGATTTTTACACACTGTTCGCGGGAGGTAAGGAACGACTTTATCCATCTTATAATGACAGCATTGACAGGACTCACTTGTAATTTTAAAAGTTCATCAATAATTACATTGTGGTCGACGAGATCAAACCCTTTTTTGAAATCAGCAAAAAAGATTCTTACAGAGCAGTGGCCTTGATCTAAAACAGCATGAATCACGAGGAGGAGATAAACGAGTGCCTGAGTGGTTGACTTTCCCGGAAGAGCAAATTGCTTTGGGTCCAATTGATGACCCACTTCCGACATGAGGGACTGTAGCATAAATCCTTCCATCACTTTAGATACCTGAGCTGTGAGTGATATAGGTCTTAAATCGTCCTCAATAGTCTGAGGTGGTGAAACTTTTGGAATGGGAACGACGATAGAACGTTTCAGCTGATCAGGGAAGACTCCCTGAAGCACTGATCCCAGCGGGCAAAATGACGTTTATCCAACGTTGAATCAACGTTGGAAATGACCTTCCAGACGTTGGATAGACGTTGAAAAAGGGTTGACTATGCAAATTGGATCGACGTTACTGTTTCGACGTTGAAACAACGTTGAAATTAGTTTGCCAATCTCGTCAACCATAATTCAACGTTGAATCCACGTTAAAACAACGTTGAGATTGGTTCACAAATCGACGTCGTACATTTAACCATGAATGAACGTTAATTCAACGTCTGTTGGCTGCTGTTGAACCAATGTTTGTAAAACAACGTCAGAGCAACGTAGATATTAGGTTGTCGACGTCGCAACCTTTTTTCTACCACATTTCAACGTTGAAACAACGTCGTGTGCCCGGTGGGATGTATTGTAAATGTCCATTATGACAGGAGCAAATTCAAAAGCAAAGGTTTTCAGAATCCTATTTGGGATACCGTCTGGACCAGGAGACTTCGTCGTTTTAAGATGTCACAACACTGAATAAACTTGCCCTATATTTACGAATAGATTATTATTATTATTATTATTATTATTATTATTATTATTATTATTATTATTATTATTATTATTATTATTATTCCCCAACAACACCATTTAATCTTGACCCTCCGACCTATAATGAGATTACAAATGTCATTCGAAAGATGAAACCGTCTGGCTCACCGTGCCCTCTCGACCAAATATCTGTTATCTGTCTTAAACGCTGCCCATATCTACGTACTTATTTAACTGAAATTATCCATGCTGCCTGGTCATCTGGTATTGTTCCATCAGAATGGAAAAAAGCGTGCACGATATTGATTCACAAAAAAGACGAAACTGACAATCCCGCTAACTTCAGACCAATAACTCTAGAATCTGTTCCGCTCAAAGTTTTTACGTCGTGTCTTCGTAACAAAATTTTCGCTTTCCTATTTGAAAACAATTACATAGAACATGACATCCAGAAAGGTTTTACCCCAAACGTTGCAGGAACTGTTGAACATACAGCCCATATGGCGCACATAATCAACACAGCCCGTATAAAACAAAGGTCACTTGTAATCACTTTACTCGATCTGAAGAATGCATTCGGTGAACTACATCACAACCTTATTTACAAAGTTCTCCAATATCATCATATACCTGATCCTATAAATGAACTAATCCGGAGTGTTTATACTAACTTCCAAACATCTATCATAACTGAAAAATTCAGTACCCCTTTCATTACCGTCGGCCGTGGCGTTTTACAAGGTGACTGCCTTAGTCCACTCCTTTTCAATATGTCCTTTAATACCTTCGTACAACACATTAAATCTGAATCATTCCTGCAGCTTGGTTTTTGGAAATTTAATAAAACTGGTATTTCGTGTAATCCAATTCATTGGTTCCAGTTTGCAGACGACGCGGCTGTCATTAGTAGCCAAGAAAAAGAAAATCAAATCCTACTCAATCGCTTCTCGGTATGGTGTCAATGGGCCAATATGATTATACGTGTTGACAAGTGCTCTACGTTCGGTATCAAAAAACACTCATCTAAATCTGTTCAATATCAACCTAAATTGCTTATTAGCCACCTACTTGTACCCCGTACCGAAACTGGCGAATCTTTCCGCTACCTTGGTCGTTATTTTAATTTCAACATGTCAGATGAAAAACACCAATCGGATATATGTAACTTGTTTAATAATATCATATCTAAAATAGATGAATTACATTTGCACCCCCGAAATAAAATCCTGCTATACAGTCGCTACTTGCTCTCGAAAATCTCATGGGACTTCACAATAACTGATATATCTCAAACATGGGTTTGCGAGACTTTGGACGGTATTGCTACTAAACATATACGAAAATGGCTCGAACTGCCAATATCTGCAACCCTAAGCAATGTCTATCTCCCTTACAACAAACCCGGTTTAAATGTCATTCTACCTTCAACGAAGTTTATACAGTGCCAAACTGTCTCACGCTTAGCTTTAAAGTCATCGACAAATGAAAACATACGTGAATTATGGTCAATAACAAGCACCAATAGGAACATTCAGTACGACATTTACCCAAACACAAAAGATGTATTGAAGGCATTTAGACAAAAAAACGAACAGCGACTACAAAATAACCTAACTTCACAAGGTTCTTTTTTCTCAAACATCGTGAAAAACTCCACGTTGGCATTCAATTCCCTATGGTCATCGGTTCATTCAAAACTTCCTAAGAACATATTTAACTTCAGTCTACGTTACATCAACAATTCTTTGCTTACTAGGAAAAACCTAGTTAAATGGGGACTGTCATCATCTGCTGACTGTTCGTTCTGCTTCTGCCCTGAATCGCTTTTGCACATAATCTCTGGATGTAAGACATATCTAAACGAAGGGAGATATACATGGCGACATGATTCAGTTTTGAATCCCATTGCGTCCAGCCTTCTCGACGTCGGAACTAGGTCCAAAATGTATGTAGATCTGCCTGGATTTATTAGCCCATCTGTCATCACCGGTGACGAGTTACGACCAGACCTTCTATTGACAATCGAAAATAAGACCCTGTACATTCTAGAATTAACTGTTGGATTCGAAACAAACCTGAAAACTAACTCAGATCGAAAACATGAAAAATATTTGACTCTAATTACCGATCAAGAAAATATATATGATGAAGTTAAGTTTGTTAATGTATCTATAAGCTCTTTAGGTGTATTTGGTGAATCGACGAATATTTTATTTGATATGCTCCATGATCTGAAGTACGACGAACAATGTATTAAATATGTAAAAAAGAAAATAATTGCTACTTGTATTCGCACGTCATATTATATATTCTGTAGACGAAACAAAGACTGGAACAACCCAGAACTTTTAAACTTTTAACTAAATTTAAAAGATTTTCACCTGTATATATATTTTAGCTTTAAACTCAATTCAAGTGGACATCGATAAGCTACCTTTTATTAAGTGAGGTTTATCAATGTATATATAGTATATCGTAGATTTCTAATAAAAAGTTTCCATTATTAAAGTCTTTATTGTCTAGAGTCACAACAGACGTGCAACTTTACAAATGTCAAATTCCTATTTATTACAGTTAAAAAATTGATCTATCCTAATTAATTATTTGAAAGTTAAAAATAGTTAAAAAGACATCTATTTATGAAGGATCGTTTAAATCATTCCGTTTTAATTTGAAGTAAAATAAAGTTATGTTCCCTTTGTCTTAAAATCTTTGTTTACACACAGAAAGCAATTCATGTAGGGCATGTTCTGGATTCGATACGATTTTGCTAAATAATTTTCTGTCTCTCTTCTCGATCACTTCAGATATCTTAATACTCTTTGTCGTATATCCATAACGATAAGCCCGCCGGGAAAACTTGTCTATACGATCCAAATATTTCTTTTGGAGTGCAGAGCCCCACCCTTCAATGCAATAGTAAAGAGTGACATGATTAGCGAATCGAATAATTTGCTTAGCTGATTGGGAACATCTGTCTCCTGGTCATCGGTGCATTCTAGCAAGGGTTTAAAATGCGAAGTAAGTCCAACAAGATATCCGTTATATGACTCAGCAAG